ACTGAAGCCTCTAATTTTCTCTGGTTGGCTTTGTTTACTCAGCAGAAGACCTAAAAGCAGCTTTCCTGCTGCTGCAGGGATCTCAGAGACTGGTGATGCCACAGGCAGGGTGCAAGCAGGGAATGCTGAGGCTCATGCACAAAGCTGTCTTGAATAATTTCTCCTCTTGTCCAGAAAAGACAGGGCTGTGCTCCCTCCTGCTGCATGCATGATGCACTCCAATGGCAGGAGCTCAGCTGCCCCTTTGCCATCTCTAACCTCCTACACAGAGTGAGCAGCTCCCAGGATGGCTGCAGCGGGTTTGGAGATGTTTCTGTGGTTTTAGGAAGATTCTGTACAGGGGAGGTTGCATTTTCTTTTGTCTGTACGAGTGTGTCATTGCTTCAGTGGCTGGTTTGTGGATACCAGCCTTTAAAATAGAGATGTAGACAAATTGGCAAAAGGCCAGAGGAGAGCAGCACTAATTGTCAGAGCTTTAGAAAACATGACCTTTGAGGAGAGGTTGAAGAAATCAGGTGCATTTAATCTAGACAAGGCAGTATGAGTGGGGGAGGGAGGGGGATGTCATGGTTTCTCAGAACATAAAAGCTGTTGTTAAGGAAGGATGATTGATTTATTCTTTCACTGTCGTGGAGGGGGGGAATGATGAGACCAAACTACATTTAAACTGCAGAGAAGATTTGGTTTGGATATCTAGGAAAAGCCTTCAGTGCAGTGAAATGCAGGAAGGTATTGTTCAGGGAAGCTGTGAAATTTCTGACACCCTGTTAATGCCTTTGTTCCTGTAGTTCAGACTAAAGGGTAATTTTCAGGCTGATCCCTGTCCCTCAGCAACTGCAACCCTCGGCTCTGCCAGCAGTGCCAGGTCCACGTGGTCAGGAATGCAGGAACCAGGAACCTTGAAGCTCTGGCTGCAGTTCATGAAAATGATGTGGCTTCAGCGGACCATAAATGGAGCTCTGTTCACCTGCCCACTGGTCTGGAGTCTCTTTGGCTGTGTCTGTATTGCAGCTGGAGATCTGAAGGCAGCTGAACCCAAGCTTGCTCTAGGGTTGACTTCCTTGGGTAGGAGTGAAGAGGGGACAACTTGGACCTCAGCTCTGGGCAGCTGCCTGAGTAATTCCCCCCTCTTCACTGAATGTTGTGAGCTCTGTGGCCTCAAAACCAGGCTGAGTTCTGGGAGAGATGTCCCAGTCCAGGCTGCCATCACCTCTGGCTGGAGTGCAGGACACACAGTCTTGGAAACACAACTTTTTCTCAACACTTACGTTGAGTTTTTTCTGTTAGCAACGTGACTCCAGGTGCTGGGGTTTGATGCATTATAAAATAAAATGTGAAAGTAATAACTGCTTGCTGGGAAAATATTGCAGATTAGCACAACTTGTTCTCTGCCTTGACTGTGTTTATATTTGACAAATATCACTTGCAGAAAAAGGACAGGTTTTATTATAACTCTTTTGTCTGCTTCCCTTCCAACTTCCTGAGTGCATTATTCTCAGGCATCAAACTACTTTCAGGACAAAATGTTGGTGAACTCTCCAGTGGTGGTGAGAAACAGGGATGTGTGATGGTGCCATTCACTGGTAAAAGTGGCAGAATTTCTCACACTCTCTCACTTGTGATCTTGCCTACAAATCCTTTCCAGGCAGAGGCTTTCTCTTTAAGGGGAGGATGTCTAGCTCTTTGTACCCCCTGGAAAGGAACAGATAAAAGCATGGGCCTTTAATATCAGGTTTACTTCTTTTGCTCTGTCTCAGATCCATAAATGCAGAGTTCTGTCTCTTCTGGACAAATATGCAGATGACGTTATCCCACATTTGAAATACCCTACTTTTGTATCTTTCTTTCCTGAAGCTATTAACATTGGCAGAATTGACGTCCTTTGTTTATTTTCTGTACTACTTAAAGTCTGAGTGTTGGGCACCAGCTGGCCTGGTTTTCCATTGGGCAGCACTGAGAGTCAGGACATATTTTTGTGTTGGCCGTGTCCATGCTCCTGAATGCCTGTCCTGAGCAGCCTGGGAGCCATCAGGGCTGGAGGTGAGATGGCTTCTCTGGCATGAAGATTCAGCAGGTGAATAAAGGCAGGACTTGCATTTCGTTGTTTGTAGGGCAGTCTCACCCAGGAGCCCGTGGGCTGCACGCCCCAGGGCTCGCAGCTGGGTGCTGGAGCATCCCAAATTTGCTGGTGGATGGGATGTGGAGGAGTTGGCAGTGCCAAGAGGAGCCCTGCTGACTTTGCTGGGAGCTAATCCCTCCACCCCAGAGTATTCCTGGAGCTGGGAGAGGGGAGCCCTGGAGCTCGTCCCTGACTCCGGGTCTCTGCGTGAGCCCGGGCGCTCGGATGGCACACGCACACCCGGTGATGGGCACAGCACAAGTGTCTGGATGGACAGAAGGGGCTGACAGACATTTGGGGGTCCCCACTGCCAGTGCTCCCATGGTCCCCCACCCAGCCTGCTGCCTTCGGTGGGGAAGAGACTGGCTGGTGCTGGGGAAGGAGGGGATGCACAGCCACAGTGACACAAGCGCTGCTGGGTGTGGGGACTCGAAATGTCCCTCAGGCATTTTTGGAGGTTCTGGGTCCAGGTCAGAACCATTTGAGACCTTGGCAGGCAGCTGGAAACAGCTGTGATTTTGGATTTGAGCCATTGAATGATTTACCAACCTTGCAGGAAGAACAAGAAGTCACAAAAGTTTAGATATTATAGTAGAAGTAGTCAAAAAGTAAAGGGAAGAATTTTTAAGTGCTGTACAGGGGGATTTTAGTTTTGTACATGGGGTTCAGAAGTTTTAAAATGGAGGGATTTGGGCCTGCCCTGTCCTCCCTCTTTCTCCTTCCTTACCTCCATGTTCTTGGTGATGTTGGCACTCACAGATTGGTTTAGAGTAGAAAAGCACCATTTAATATAGGTAATAGGCACTGGGAAAAACTGTAAGCATGTAACATGTAATGTACCATATAAAAGATAGAAAATCCCCATTTAATATAGGTAATAGGCATTGGGGAAAAACTGTAACCATGTAACACGTAATGTACCATATAAAAGATAGAAAAACAGCATTTAATATAGGTAATAGGCATTGGGAAAAACTGTAACCATGTCACACGTAATGTCCCATATAAAAGAGAGCAGCAGCCCTGGGCAGGGAGAGAAGAAGCAGTCGGAGTCAGAGAGGATGTCAGGGTGTGTGTGTGCCTCTGCCTGAGCTGTGAGCAAACCACAGCAGCCCCAGAAGAAAATCTTTTAGATAACTTGCAATAAACTGCCTTGAGACCAAACAACAGAGACTGCTGAGCCTTTCTTTGGAAGCTCGGGTTGGAGGAGAGACTTTTCCACCACATGGAGCCACCCATGATGTAGGGTGAGCTCCGGCAGCTGGGGACAGGCTGGAAGCCAGGCAGGCAGTGGAGCACTGTTGGAGGAACAGCACTGCATGGCAGAAAGGCTCTGGAATGGGACTGTGGCTTCTGCCAGGCCCTGCTGCAGCCCCGTGCGTGGCCCTGACTCTCCTCCTGTAACCCTTTAGCCTGCAAGATCCTCAGGGCAGCGCCGACTTCCTCCTCCTGCTATGGCTTCTATCACAAGGCCCTGGTTTCAAGGGGGAAAAAAAAAAAACAAATTATCAAAGTGAGACTTCCCTAAAAGCTTTGCTGTGCCTGTGTCAGCCTCTGGCACAAAGAGGCTGCGGAGAATCGTGTCTCCCTAGCGTGACTGTTGGTTATTTTCCCACCTGGCTCCCTTGTGAAGGATGAAGGCACGAGCACAGCTAAGATGTGTCTGGCAGTGTGTCTGTGATGGGATCTTCAGAGGCTGCACCAGGTCTCCTGAGCCCCCCTGCCTCGGGCACCCTGTCAGCCAGCCCGGGGTGCTGGAGCCTGCACTGCCTCTTTAAGCAGATTTGCATAGCAGGGCCTAATTACAGTGGTTGATTCTGATGTTTTCAATGTTGTTCATATTCCATTAAAGGATAATGCTGCTTAATTTGCAGCAGAGGGTCTCGGTGAACAGCACACCCAATCACAAGGCACCCCTAATGACACTGCTTCCCTACTTCTGGTAACACATAATTAAAAAATCACTCCATTTCCAGTTGTGTGGTTCTCCCCTCTCCCCCAATTTCCTAATTACTTTCTAAGCCATTTCATGATTATCTGTAAATATTTCAGCACTTAGATCTACTAATGAGTGCATGGACGAGTTAATACCTTGAGTGGCACAACTGCTTGCCTTTCCCTTTCTGATGAAGCATTGCACAGGATAATTTTCCACCTTGCGTGTGTGGGAAAGGGGCTTTTCTCGGTGTGGGATTGGGTTTGTGCTCTGCCTTTGGGGTTGTGGGCCTGAGCAGGGGAGGGGTAACATGCAAAACCCCATTTCCAGCTACGGGATGATTTTTGCTGGGTTTGGTAGTGGGTATGTATCTCATTTTAAATTGTTTTATGTGGCTTAAAGGCCACAGTAAGGACTGTCCTGTTCTCTAATCCAAGCTCTGCTCTGAAATGCCACCTTACAAATGCTGCTTTTTCACTTCATAGATCTGTTTCCTGTACTTGTCTGGTGCCTTGGGTATTAAAACTCACTTGGGATTTTCAGACTGAGTACTCAGAGTGATGGAGGAGGGAACTGGAGCTGTTTCCTGCCCGTGGCTTGCATGGGCTTGGGTGTTGAGTTCTTTGTATGGTCAATCAGGACCACCTTGTGCAAGCCCAGTTGTCTCTGAAGGGATTATTTGGAATAACCAGAGATAATTGTGTTACTAGGGGGTAATTAACTTCCAGGAACTAAAAAAAAAAAATCAAGCTTAGGCTGCACTACTCCTTGGGGTGAGTCTGTAAGTCTGGGAGTGAGAGAAATCTAATCACATTCAATTCTATGATACTCAGGGAATGTGGGGCTGCTTAAAATCAAATCCATGCATTTCCTAGGCAATTCTTATATTGCAAATAGGAGAGGAGAACTTGAATGTGGTCCTAACCCAGCCTATTTATGTTTCAGGTAACCCTGTCACAGTGGGAATGAGCATCCACATCTCCAGCATTGACCAGATCTCTGAAGTCAACATGGTAAGTTTGGAAAGAGAGAGAAAAAGAAAAAAAGAGAGAAAGGGGAAAAAAAACCCAACTATAAACTGCTCTTCCATTTTCTGGCTGGGATTTACTTCCAAGGCAGTGTTTTTTAGGAGGCATCTGGATCTCTGCTGGCACCTCTGGAGCTTGTGGCATCTCATCTCATCCAGAGTAGATTCTTATTCCTTCTGTGCTGGTTGCACAGACACCTCCCCAAGTCAGAAAAGCTTATGCCTTAAAAAAGTAGATGTGTATTTTATTTTTTTGGTTGATGCAAAGGTGGCTTTATGGTCAGTCTGTCCCTGCCAATTTAAAAACAGTGAGCTTTCATTTTCTGGTGGCAATTCAACATTTCCTTGGAGATCTGTGCTGGAAAGAGAGGCATGGAAATGGAAATCTGGTTTTGGGTGGCATTGATAGATTGGAGCTTTTCATACCTCCGTGAACAATTAAAAAAAAAAAAAATCTGCTCCGATAGCAATGGTTTGGGGTGAAACCTGTGAAATTTGGTCACTTTGGTCATGGTTTAGGTTTACACCCAGGACTGTTCCTCAGAAGCCCTGAGCATGCAGCAGAGGACACAGATTGTGCTGTAATTGCCTAATCTTGCCTTTCTCCCTCCTGTCCAGAGGCTTTTCCTCCAGACTCTGCACCTTTCCCAGGGGTTGAGTAAAGGGGGAGGTTGGTTTGAGCCTCCTGGCAGCCCCTTCCAGTTCCTCCCTTCCTGGTCCGTGCAGGACAATCCTGGGCCAGTTTGGAGCTCTTGCAGTTCAGGTCGATTAAAATCTTGGTCTCCCCCTGCTCCTGGCCCATTTCTCTGTCTCTGGCCTCTCCTGCCATGTTTCCCTGGTCCACCAGCTCTTCTGAAGAGGGGGGGTGACACAACCTGACCAGTTGGTTTTGTTTCCAAACTGCCTGAAAAGCCTGAATACGTGTTGGAATGAGCCAGGGGGAAGAACCAGCCATGAACCTTTATGTTCCTATGTGAAAGCTCCTCTGCTACCACCCCACCATCACCTGAACTCTGCATGACGTGTGGCACCTCAGCCCAGTGACAGTGGGCACTGGGTGTGGCCCTAGATTGGGTACAGAGGCACTGGGTAGCTGTGCTTGAGTTTAGGCTCAGTTTAGCAGATGGTTTAACCTAGTCCCATCTGTCTTGCCTGTCAGGCCACAACTCAACTTTGAGTCGATTCCCCTCCTAGGCTCAACTTGGACCTGGGTGTTCTGGGGTGCTGGAGCAAATGTCACCCTCCTGCTAGAGCCAGGATGGACAATCTGGGCTCTGGGCTTGTGCCTTGAGACCAAGACTTGCCCAGACATAACTGGGAAGGGCCCTGGTTCTCAGCTGTAGAACTGTCCCTGCAAGCCTGAGCACAGGGACAGGGACTGCTGGAGTGAGTCCAGAGGAGGCTCCAGGATGATCAGAGGGATGGAGCAGCTCTGCTGGGAGGAAAGGCTGGCACAGCTGGGATTGCTGAGCCTGGAAAAAAAGCCAGTTTAGGGGTGGCCTTCCAGTACCTGAAGGGAGCCCACAGGAAAGGTGAAGAGAAACTTTTTACAAGGGCTGGAGTGACAGGACAAGAGAGTGGGTTCACATTGGATCTTAGGAAAAAATTCTTCCCTGTGAGGGTGGGGATGCCCTGGCACAGGGTGCCCAGAGCAGCTGTGGCTGCCCCATCCCTGGAAGTGTCCAAAGCCAGGCTGGATGAAGCTCTGAGCAGCCTGGGATAGTGAAAGGTGTCCCTGACCATGGCAAAGGGGTGGAACAAGATGATCTTTAAGGTCCTTTGCAATCCAACCATTCTGTGCAGGCAGCTGAGCCCTGCAGAGGCTGATGCAGGATGAACCTCCTCCTGGAGAGGTGTCCCTGGGCTACAGGGGCTGATCAAGAGCTTCGTCCAGCAGGTGTGAGCAGCTTGGCCAGGCACACAGCAGCCACTGTACCAGCAGCACTTTCCAACCCTTGCCATGTAAATGTGATGCTCTCCCCTCTGCAGCAAGCCCCTGCTTCCCTCTGGCACACAACTGGGGGAGAAACAGCAACAATGATCCCTCTGTGATGCACAGATTTCCTGGCATAGACCTTCGTCCACATGCTGCTCTGGATCCTGCAGGCTTTGAGCAGCACAGTGATGGACACTGAGTGATTTGATGGTGGTGGCGTGGCTGGGGTCAGGCTGGGCACCACTGTCCCTGCCACACTCCCGTGGATGTGAAGAAATGTCACTTCTAGGCTTTTGATTATCCCTCCGGCTCTCTGTTTGACAAGAAAAAAATGTTCTGCTCATCTTTCCTAAGTAGATTGGGGCAGGGGTAGGGGGTGTGGAAAGGGTTGGGGATGGGCTGTAGGTGAGAATTTATTCAAGATCAAGATCTCTGAGCACCATGGTGAGGCAGCTTCAAAAAGGGGTTAAGAATCAGAATCATCTTAAAAAACAAACATTTAGGGAGCAGAAGAGTTCTGTGATGTAAGTTTCCAGGCTGAGGGCATTTTATGTGCATCATTCTTCTGTGTGACAGATGCCCCGGGGAAAGGGCTGTGTTTTACCCCTGCTCTGGACATGGATACTGGCAAGAAAAACAAGGCATTTTTTTGGCATCATGTGTGCTTGGGAAAGGAACTGTGCAATGAATAAATTAAAGGCACACAAGTGAAGCTGGGTTGTCATGGTGACCAAATAGCTTCTATTGTTCCACAAGGAGTGTTATTACTTACTACCCCTTGTAGGATAATTAATTAATCCTCAGACATCCTTTTGGGAACAATGGCCCTGGTGCTGGGACTGGGCAGGCTGAGGAGAGCCCCCAGCTCTCCCAGCCTTTCCCTGGCACTCCTGGTGCCTGCTGGCTGCCTGGTGGTGGGGAGCAAATGCTGTCAGTGACCAGACAATGATGGTTCCAAAAGCTGTTTCCGCAGAGTCCAGCTGGTTGTGATGTTCTGGAGCAATCCAGCTCCATCCACGAGCACTCCTTGCCCTCACTCCCATGGGAGCCGTGTTCCCAAAATGAAGATGTGGTGGCATTGCTGTCCTGGGGGACACGGGGTTCTCTGAGAAGGCAGCACAGTGACGTCCTTCTGCTGGATGTTCCCAGACACTCTGGCACACAGAACACTCTGCAGCTGTCTGTAGATGCCATGTGTGTTCTGACAGCCAAGGCTGATGCACCTCCTGAGGGCCATTCCCAGCCCCTGTGCCATGCCAGACTGCAAAGTGTTCACAGGTACAGTGGCAACCATCTCCCAGTCACGAGACACCAAAGCCACAGCCCTTATTTTAAAGAGTGTCCCCTCCTGGTTCACGGCAGCTGCTGCCTGTGTGGTCAGCCATATTTTCAAGCTCACTTTCTAGAGTGATGCTTTCTTGCTGTGTATCCCCCTCAGCATGGCTGAGCAATGCTGAGCTGCAGCCTCTGTTCTTGCCAGTGATTAGAAGGATTATTTGCTGAGCCAAGATCAGTGACATCAATTGAAATGTCTGGGGAAGGATGCTAGAGCCAGGCCAAATAGGTATTGGGGGGGCACATTTGAGTGGCAGACCCTCTGGGAAGTGCTGATCCATGAAGATGAAAGCCTCACTGGAGTCTCTTCATCTCCTGTACACATTTGCAAGTTGGGGATTTGAAGGCAGGCTGAGAGGAGGAATGGCTTCCTGCTGCTGCTGCTGAGCAGCTCAGGTGACCCATGAAGGACAGCAGGAAGGTATCTCCTGGAGAACTCACCCAGCCCATCTCCTTTGAGTCATTGGGATTGAGTTGCAGCGAGCAGGGTGATGCCTGGAATGGCTACCTAGAGCAGAGGCCAGACAGAGTTAAAGCAATAAAGTGAGTATTTATTAAAGGCCTTTAACAGGTTCACCTTGGGCAGTCAAAAGCCTGGCAGAGGCCACACCCAATGTGCACGATGGGCAGTTTTTTGGGCAGATATAAGTTTGGTCTGTTTGCACATCAGAGGTTCATTCTCCATTTATAGCTTCAGGTAATGAAGTCACAGTGCCTCAGTTTGCTTCTCCCCAGTTTACTTTTGTTGAGGCTGTGATGGTGACCTTGGCTCTCAGGCCTGGAAGGATTGTTTTGTCTGCCCAAACTGTGAAGAGAGCTTACCAACGCTCTGTATGGAGTTCAGAGCTTCACACTAATGCAGTACAGGACCTGGAAAATAGAAAAGCTAAAGCTTAAGGCATCAAGGGAACAGCCTGCAGGTGTTTATAGAGTCTTGTTGGTGTGCAGTGGCACTGGGGCAGTGACACTTTCAGGGCTCCTGGTGTGGTGCCAGGTTACTGAGGAGTCCAGCAGCATTTATGAGCTGGGAAATGAAGAGCTCTGGCAGTGTGGAGCTCATGTCACACAGTTGGAGCAGGCTGTGGGTGCTTCATGACCAGAATGCTCCCCAGAGTCACTCACCTTAAGGGTGGGGTTCAGCCAACTTGCCCTGGAGGTGCAGTTCTGATGGTGTCCAGCAGCAATGGCTTCAGAAAGAGCTGCAAGTCTTCCCTCACTGCTGGATGTCCTTCCATCCAGCTGAGGACTGGCCTGCTCAGGGTATGCTGTGTATTCCTGCACAGTGGGACTAAACAAGGACTAAGCCTTCCAATGCAACCTTTTCCCTCTCTAGGCAATCTCTGGGGACATATTTTTCTAGCACCAGACACTTCACACTCCCTTGAAGTATTAATGAACTATTTCAATAAGGAAAACTACCAGAAGTTTTGTATGCATTTGAAATAAGAGGAGGTTACCCTTCATAACGCTTCAATTTTCCTGCCCTATGATCTGTGCAGTCCTAAACCTGCTCCCTCCTGCGTCTGCACACCGTAGACAGCTCAGAGCATCCAGCCATTATAGTCATGATTTCTTTGTGGCTCCTATAATTTATTCATCCCAAGATGCTCTCCTACATCTGCAATAACATCATTTCAGTTTGTTATAGCACCAGCTTTAAAGTTTTATAAACCTGGTGACAAGTTGAAAAGTTACAAGAGGATTGTTGCAGAGGG